TTTGCGTCTGGTCCTTTCCAAGTGGACCTCTCTAGGACCCGGTATATAAAGTAAGTCACATTGGGATGGTCGTTGTGACCTCCGATGATGGGAGAAGGAGAGATGGTCCCTAAGATACGATGGGCCCTGGCCGTAAAGAATCTTAAAGGTCAGAACTAGCATCTTATATAGACCATGGTAATCAGTTGGAATCCAATGCAAATGCCGCAACACTGGTGTTATATGGCATTTCATGGGTGTTCTTGTGAGTAGCCTGGCTTCCGCATTCTGAACAATACAGAGCTTTCGGGTCGTAGACATTGGAAGGCCAACATACAGGGCATTGCTTTATGAAAAGAGAACTTAATTTTGGAACCCCATGGCTTTCTTTTTATACTTTCACTAATGTCACCCTCCTTCAACCCAGTTGCATACAATGTGAATATATTCTCAGTTCTTAAGGCAGATTTTTTGTGTGTGTCAGGAGTTATTTAAGAAACTGCAAGTCTCCTCTGGTGTGAAAGAACTGGCTATCTGCAAGGGTGTTGCCCAGGAGATGCCTGGATGTTTTACCATCCTGTGGGAGGCTTCTCTCATGTCCCCACATGAGAAGCTGGAACTGACAGATGAGAGCTCACTCCGCTCCCCAGATTTGAACTGCCGACCTTTCAGTCAGCAGTCCTGCCAGCACAAGGGTGTAACCCATTGTGCCACAGTTGTATTGAAACTCACAGCATCTTCTTACCACTGTGCTTGATATGGTTAATGGGAGAACTGTGGCACACATTCCTGGGCCAGATATACTTTTCTGTGTCAATGTGTTCTTTGCACAGATATTTTAATTTGTATTCTCTTTGCTACCTTTCCAAGTGAATGTCCATGTCATTTCTTATCTTTGGAATGCATTTAAATGATTTGACTTTTTAAAACTCTGCTCTTTATAGACATGGAGGAATATGGTCTTTTGACTATTGTCACATTTGTTACCCTCCCTACTAGTTTTGCTTTGATGATACATGAGCTGTTGAGGTTTTTGTCTTTATCCTTTCCCCTTTTATTTGAATATATTGGCTGTGCAGCTATTTTGATATGACCTTATAGCTAGGTTTCAGTAGAACACGGTCATTGTTATACAAAGGTAGAAAGTCTTTTGCCTTTGTGCCTATAATTTAATATTCTCTGGATTTGTCAGGCTATAATTCAACCGAGTAAAATGCTTAAGAAGTCAAACTTTTAACTGAATAATTCAACTTCTCTTTCTTTCTTTTTCTTTTGCTAGGGATGCTAATGATATTTCACGTGAAGTGAGGTGGAGGAAGCAAAGATTAGCAACTGCAGCAATAGGACTTTTCTTTCTGCATATACCAAGGGGGAAGAGTGAAGCCTGGTAGCTTCTATGTGACTGTAGTGATGAATCCAATTTGAGACATTTTTGTGTACTCTCAAAAGAGTATTTTGGGTTCAGTATCATGGACAGCTCCTTTAATGCTTGGGCTGAAACCTGGAGCAGTTTCACTGCCACATTAACATGGAAGTCAGCAACCCCAACTGTACAAAGCCACAGTTATCTAGTGTTAAGCTTTACTGTTTGAAATCTGCTGCTCCAAAGGATGTACAGCTGGACTATATGAAACAGATTTAAATTGTCAGACTGTTGATCCAACTGGCATTGTGTTTTTCTTCCTTGAGTATCAGTGGTTCTCCTGAGTCTTGAGATAAAAGCAGTCTTTTCCTGATATCTGAGATATTTTCTAATGCTTGGAAAGTAACCTGGAATCATGTTTGATACAGCACTAAATCTACTCCCATTTTTGGTAAGACACAAATGTGCATTTGCTAACTCAGATTAGCAGCCAGAGTATTTATTCCCAGTGATATTGTAGGGCTGCTTAAATATATAACATTCAAGATATATCTTAGAGAGGTAATTTATAAGCATGTGAGAACCAAAAGCTCAAGCAAGGGTACTTCTGTTTTTCTCATTTACATCTGTGTTGGACGCACTTTGCTGTGTGTATAATTCTTTACAGGGGAGCATAAACACAAAAGTCTCCCAGGGAGTTTACAATCTAAATTTTGGGAGTTGTGGAAATGGATGCAATAAAGAATCGTAATTCGACAGTATTTGCTAATGAAGAGCCTTTAGTTTGATTAATGATGAGGGCATATCTCCTTCAAAGGTCCAAATAGATATTTTTGATCTTCCTTACAAAAAGATAATCACCCAGAATGACTCCTGAAGCATTTCGTGCTCATTTCAGGTTATATATTGGTTTCCAGTTTATAGTGGAAAGGAGAAAAGGATAGATATGGTCCAAGAACTTTTCTGCTTTTAAAATAATTGTGTTTAGCCTGTGGTTGCATCAATTCAAAGGGAACTGTAATGTTTGAGGACAGACAGGGTGGGAAATATATCAAGATCTTGGATATCCTACCCCTGTTTACATAGAACATATATGTATGTACACGTGAGGCGATGAGGGGAAGTGAGGAATCAAACCTCACAAACTCAGTACTTCTAGTTCATGCTCGGAGCACACTTTTTCTGTCTCTGTGATGCCTTTATTAATATGTGTTTGTTATAGGGTGCAATCTTTATATATCTGAATATTTCTTCAATGTGTATTCCAAACTTCGAGTCAATATGTAGCTTTCAATTCTCCTCACGGGTTACCTCAGTGTAATCACAGACTGACTTCCAACTGTATAACTTTAGTCCTGTAACTTGACACAATACTTTAATATATATGTTGAAACAAAGAAATATTCATTCATGAATTCTTTGGCACATAAGCTTATCTGTTACAAAGTACTTTACTTCAGTTCCACTTGGATATTATAGCAGCTATCTTTCACTCCTTTGAATACATAAATGGTTTCTACTCTGTTAGGCCACTTTCTTCGACTTCAAAATATATTTCTCTTCAGCCTCCTGGCTGGCTAACATTAGACTTTTAATCACTCCCTTCTGTCAATATTTTTGACTAAAAACTTATTCCCAAAGGAATCTCTGTCTCTCAGTTCTACTTAACTGATCATTTAGACTTATATTAGCTTTTTCTTTACTTCAGTGTAACAATGGAAGCTACAAACTTAAATACTGATCCTCTTCCCTCTAGCTCCTGGCTAGAGATGCCTCACTTTTTAAAATGTTCCCCTCTATTTTTATCTAGCTCCACCCCTTTTCTTGCTAGCCACTCTCAAATGGATACATTTCTACTGCAAAGGTTACATATCCATGGTACTCAACAACCAATCAGACGTAACCAACTCCTGACTGCCCTTGCCATACTATCAACACTAATAATAAAACTCCACTATAATTAACTTTTCCATTACAGGGACATTTCTGGAAAAGTAATTAGATCCACACTATACAATATTTTCAGATTTATAGGCCTAAATCCAGTTGCTAGTTCTAATTATAGATGACCCATTCACTGAATGGGTTTTACATAAGTGTTAATTTACTATTCATCAAATTATTCAGTGGATCTGCTTTAACTGGGACCAGTAAAACTGTCTTAGTGTATTTCCTCTTAAGGAAACTCTAGTGGGTTAAGAATCACTGATTTTATAGAGGACTATCTCAGAAGCAAGTGTATTTTGGATTGCAGTTTAGATAAAAATCTAGCATCTGTCCATATGGCATATGCACATATTTGCTGTTTAGTATGGCAACACTCCACTGGATTCCTGGAAGTATCTTTTTTGGGGGGGGGGGGGTAGGGAAATACCCCTGTAGTTCAAAGCTCAGGATTCTCCTTGATGGACAACAGTGTAGACTAGCAAGAGGACAGAATTTTCTTGGTGGGTTTTTTTAGTTGCACTGTCTAGACTCAGGAAATCCTGTGGTGTATTATCAACTATTCTGAAATGTGGAACACTTGGTAATTATGGATAGTTCAACCTGGGGCAAACTTTTTCTGCCCTGGAATGAGTTGCAAGAGGTATGTGGTGGCAGTAGATGGAGCTGTAGAGCTGTTATTGCTTGAGGTCATGCCATTACATTCACCTCCTCCCCACCAATGCCTGCCAAAATAGACTCTGGGCTTGTGTAGTGTTTGTGTACAAGTGGCTATTTGTCTCTTCAATACAGAGACTGGGGCAGGGTTGTAACTGTCATTTCCCTGTAACCTTTGACTTGGATTGAATGCACCATGGAATCTTTCTATACCCTGGTATACAATGCCAATCATCCTCAGCTAATATGTGAAAGGGTTGTTGGTGACAGAGTTTGTAATCCAGGAACATGTGGAGAGCCATAGGTTCTCCACTGCTATAGTTGAAGACAATGAAATGAGAAATTAAAAGCACAAAAGCTGACTTTCTCTTGAATAGCAGTCTTTCTCTTGTTATAATGTGGGTATAATTTTAACCTTTTTTGTTGTTCTGTGCCTACAAATCAACTCTAACTTCTGCAAAAGTTTGCTGGTGCCTGTCACTGGGCTGACTTCCCCAAGGTCGCCAAGTCCTTATCCAACACTCAAACTGCAACACTTCGCTGACTACCATTATCAAGTTATGACTGCACTATTTGGACTGATGTTTTAGTAGCAGAGGCAGGCACTCCCTTTAGTCTTCAGAAATTATTGTTTGCCCCATCCAACACAATGGCAGTGCTTACTTTTGAGATTAAAAAAAAGTCTTAATAGTAGTAATGCAGAGCCCCCTAAAGGTGTGCTTTGCCACAAAACTTCAGCAGCCAACTACAAGACCAAATCACAGCATTTTAGCAGCAGGTTGCTTTATGTTTAGTTGATCTTGGGGATGCGGGAAACCAGAAAAAAGAGGGTTGTGATGCATGTGAACCATGAATTATTCTTTGTCCATATTTGGGCTAAGCCAATAAACTGAAGTTGATGTAATTGCTTCCTATGGAAAAGTACTAACAACTCATTTGTGCTGGGTGGTTGAATGGAAATGGAAATGTATTTTAGGTACATTTGCCAAGTTATGAAAAAATGATAATAGTGAATTAAATATATTCTGATTTTATTTTGTGTATTTTCCCTCTCTAGGATGAATAAAAGATACTTGCAGAAATCAACAAAAGGAAAACTGCTAATAATAATATTTGTTGTAACACTGTGGGGCAAAATAGCATCTGGAGCAAACCACCACAAAGGTAAGAAATGGCAAGAAATTGTACTATATTGTACAATTGCTGTAGCATCTGTCTGCAAAAACTTTAAGACAAAATGTACAAGCAAGAATTGAAGAAAACATTTTAGTAGTTTTTATTTTTTTATGTTTCTTGTGAATGTTTTGGTATAGTAGTGAGTTGAGGAAAGTTTTCTGTAAGTGATGTTCCTTCAGTTTCCTACAAATTATCCCTGGAAAGATGTTATGCCCACACTGTTTAATGAATTTTTTTATCACCATATTTTCTGCTTGCTATCTGAAGATGATAAACTTGAGAAATTGACTAAGCATATAATAAAGTAGGTTCTTTCATAAAAGGCAATTTGTCAAAGGGAACATGGAAATGCTATAAATGAGTTCATGAAAAAAGCTACATAAAAAACTATCTTCAGTAACATGTGGTGTTGCTGTAGCATTCCAATTATCTACACAAAGTTGGGATGGAAGAAAACTTTACTTATTTCATCTTTTGAGAAGAACTTTACAGGATTCTAGAATGTCTTCATAAATTCAGGGAAAAGAGCTGAAGATTTGAAATAATTCAAATGCGGAAAAAACTCATAAAGATGGATTGTTCCATCTAGGTAGAAGGTATTGAGTACTTGGCTTTTGAATGTCTGGCTTTGAATCCCCGTGTAGCTCTGTATTTCTGGTGCAGAATTACAGTTGCCAAAAGCCACTTATTAATTTGATGTCAGGAATGCAATATTTATGTATTTATTAAATGAGAGAAAGTGAAATTGACAGATTTCACTAATTCCTAGCACAGTTTTTCTGCTGATATAATTTTTTTCTTGGTGAAGTCTAAAAGAACTTTTTCTTCACTATCTCTAGCATTTTATGTTGTATCTTTCCCCTTGTTGCAATTCACTCCTGATCTGGCACTATAGATCTGTGCTTAATATTTGATACCTGTTCTGGAGAGAATAATTCTCTTTATGACCAGGAAGCCCACTCCAGGATTCAGTATCTTTTGATCTATAGATTAATGGTATGAAGCTGTGTAGCTCTCAAAAGCACCTACATGTGCTAGTTATGATTTTTATTTGCTTTGTAATGCTTTTTAAAAAATGTATTTCTCACTTTGTGGTGTCTGTGTGTTTTTAGATTGGACGCCTGAAAAGGTGATCGGATAAGCCACAGAAATTTAATTAACATTACTGCGAATAAAAAGGGAAGGCGGATTTGGCACTAAGAAAGGCCAAACTAGATGAGACATGGAAAATCCATTATTGGATTCTCTGTTCCCTTTTCTGCCTTAAAAATAATTGTGAGCAGGGGGGAGGCAGAGAGAAGGCAATTTCAATTAAGCTTTTATTGTTAGGGAATGAGATCTTGTATTTTTCTGCACATACGCCAACGGTGTTTTCCTGATCAAACCACAAGGTCTGGGAATAGCAATGTGACCTATTGTAGAAAAGAATATAGGCTCCATCAGCTCTGTGGGCCCAGGTCAAACTGGATGCTCCCATGGCTACTTTGAAGAAATAAATTCTGGGAAACATGATCATGCAGTTCTTGTATTTTAGCTGGATGAGCTCAAAATTATTACATCTCTTTTAGAATCTCTGTGGTTTCATACATGTTGTATAGTATTATTATAGTTGTAAGGTAAATATTTGCTAGGAGACCGCTGTAGAACAATCTCTTTAAAAAAAGTTTAAACTTTTTTTTAAAAAAAAGGTATTTTATGTGTAATTCATTTCCTCTCCGATAACCATAATGGGCATAGAGTGCATCAACATCACAGAAAGAATGCAGTTTGATGCCACTTTAACTGCCATGGCATTATGCTATGTAATCCTGAGATTTGTAGTTTAATGAGGCATCAGCACTAGGCTTGTGCATTTCTGCGGAACCATGATCCATTTCTGCTGACCGAATCCTCGGAGCCCTTCAGATCCGTTTTTGCATGCCTCCTGAAAACGGGAGGGTTGTTGGATAGCCGTTTCTGATCCACAGCTGAAAGATCCAGGAAGATCCAGCCCATTGGCAGGAATGGGGAACTTATGAGGCTCCCCTTTCTGTTCTTGGGATCCTTTCCTTTCTTTTTTTCAAGAGAGCCTGGTTTTGAGCAACTGGGTTAAGGAAGCATTCTTCCTGAGACCCTTTCCAATCTTCCTTGCAAGGAAGTCTGGGTTTGAAGAATGGGGTTAAGGAAGAATCCTTCCTGGCACCCCTTCCTTAGATACAGCTTGTGTAAAACACATCACAGTGTTTTTTTTTTAATTCTGACAGGAAGGTTTCACAGGGAAACCTCATGTGAGCAGCATGCAGCAGCCTCTCTGTGCCGCTTGGTGCTAAATAGGGGAGGAAGAGCCGTGATCAGATGCCAGGTGGTCCTATAATGGTTGAAAATACATGATGGATGAGCCCTTACCATTGCATCCATCCAGCTAAGCTGAACAAGCCAGATTGGCCAAAGGGAACCAACTACTCTGAATCCATGCACTCTTTAGTAGATAAGGCTGTAAAGACCTTGTAGAACTCTAAGTCTCAGGATGTCTTAGCACATGATAGTTCAAGTGGTGTAAGACTGCATTAATTATATAGTATAGATGTACCTTGGTCTTCTTTATAAAGGCATCTGAGCTAGAATATACCTACCATGATGCATTCTAATTTGTTCTAAATATTTTCTTTTTTTTTGGAAAAAAACTGCAACATTTAATTTTCTTTTGATTATTATTTTGGCTTAGACCTGAAGAACCCCATTGGACATCTTCATTGAGTTCCTCTTTCTTTGTGCCAAAAGCCAATTCTGACACTCTATGAACAGTAATCTGTGAAGATACTCTGATTTTAGAGGGTGGGGATAGAGTTTTGTGAAAAATAATTGGGTGAGGGGAGGAAAAAAAGCTTTGAACTTAACTCTGTTTTTTTAAAAAATCTTACAAAATTTGAGCTGAAAAGGAAAATTGTGCTATTAAAATATGGGTGTTTGGTCTGTGACAGGAGCAGGCTGTTGGCTGTTAGAAGAATGCTGTTTCAGTATAGGTTCAGCACCTTGGATAGCTCCTTTAAAGAAATAAAATCAGCATGCATTCACCAGCAGCACAAGTGCTATGAGGCACAAAGCAGTAAGATGTGCCATTTTGAAGGTTGCCATCTTTTTACTAACCTTGCTATTCTGACACTAATAACACAAAAATACAAGGATATTTGCTTTGGCTAAGTTCTTCCTTCTGTTTTATACTGTTTGCTAGGAAAAATGTTTGTTGCTAAATATATGAACACCAGACTACTGTTAACTAGCTTGGCAGAGGCAGTCAAAAGTTGCCAGCCAAAGAGCCTCTCAAGTCTCTTTAAATCTGACTGTGACAAAGGATTAAAATTCATCCAGCTAGCTTCTTCCATATTGCCCTGTTGCAAATTTCCTGTTATTGTAACTAGAGGTTAAGCCAAACTGAAGGGGAGGAAAGGATTCACTAAGGACATTATGTGAACTTGATTGATGTACTCTCATATACTGGAGAGGTTGCACAGATGTCAGATATACCATTGTATTGAAACTTGTGTTTTGTGACGCCTACTCATGGGTAAATGTCAAAAGCTGATTCATACTTGGCTCAGTAGGTGTTGTGTCTGGAAACTCATGTGACTAACTCTGGACTGGGTACCATAATTAAAAGTCTGCAATGACTGCTACAGGTGTAAACAACCTGTACAACAATAAGACTATGTGCAACTTATTCCTATAATCCTACATTATTTTAAATATAGTTAAGAACTCTGCGTCATAGTTCAAAGTATTCCCATGGAGTAACCAACAGCAAATTCTTAGTTTCAGTTATGTGCTGTTATATCTCACATTATTTTTTTTTCCCATGGAGTTTCCAATTATTGCCCACAAGGAAATCTCATGTTGCGATAAACACCCATTTTAGAATATGAAAGTATAAGTTGTCCCGTGTGTCATTTTTCTAAACAGTCTTGGACTTTAGTATATAATACTTGCCAAATTCACAGCTGTGCTGAGCTTCCAGAACTGCTTAAATGTTAACAAAATTGCATTCCATCTAACAGCTTTGGCCACATAATTAGAATATATTACCAAGACTTACTGTTGAATGAAATGAGAACTGGATTCCAGTTGTTTTTCTGATGTTCTCACCCAGTGTCTTGATAGCAGCTAATGTGATAGTGTGCTGCTGCAAGACAGTATTACAGCATATAGCTGCCATAAACATGCAAATTTAAGAAAATGCTACTTTTTCCTAGATGTACTTTTTTCATTTTGATTTCTTTTTAAAATAACTGCAAGGACAAATATTATTCCTTGATTCACCTTGCCATTCCCACATTCAGTGGGAGGAACTATTAATGTCCAAGATTGTCTATCATGGCTTATCTCATATATGCAGGTATAGTTCAGTTAATGAAATAAATGTGTTTCTGGGCATTACTTTAACAGAATTTTTAACACCAGAGGTAGAAACACCATAGAAAGAACAGGGATAGGTTCCTGCACCACAGAAAAAAAGAGCAGTTCAACATATTCAACAACAACTTTATGCAAAACAATATCCATATGTGAAAAAAGGTCAGCTAAGCCTTGCACAAGTAAAGACAAATATTCTTAGTGTTCTAGAGTTTATATGAAATCTTCTTCCAAAATACATACAGGGATGACTGCATGTCTCTGTTGAGGCAGGGGCATGTGCTTTCTCATTTTTCCCCCAATTCACTGTTCACACATGCATAGTAAGAGATCCTGACCTTTAGGAAACAGGTGAAATTGTGGATGTGAAATGAGGCATTCTCAGAATGATGGCAGAGACCGGTACCTGATTAATGTATTGACCACAAAGTGCAGCTTGAGTCGGACGTTGTTTTTAACTTGGCAAACTGGTTTTATATGTATGTTATTTTATTGTATTTTTATCTATTGTTATGTATGATGTTTAAATGGTTTTATTTGTTAGCATTGAATCCTTGCTGTGAAGCATCCTGAGTCTCTCTACAGAGGTTAGAGAAGAACGG